TCCGGCGTCATTCGTCGTATTGGCTTCATTGCGCGTTGCCACACTTCCGCTCGCATTGACGCTGTCGACAAGTTGTTAATGATGTATGACTGATGAGGCGAGAACTGCACACACCATACCACCACCGCTTTTATTATTGTCATACTTTTTCGAATCACATAGAGCTACATGCAGGTCGCCATGGGATACAGATGATCAGAATAGATTAGTGTAGCATTATCTATTTTCCAAGAGCAGTAAGGTGCAAATTGCCGGTGCTCCTATAGAGCCCGAGATGTTATCGGTCGTGAAACTAACCTGTGATTGTGGGAACACTGATTCATTGCTACCTCGAAAGCTGCATTATGCGTGCAAATTATTTAGAATATATAATTAGTCCCCGTTTTCCTCTGTAAATCAAATTTGTCACGGAAAGTAATGTTGAGGAAAGAAAAAATGTATTCCAACCTAAGATCTGGTTTGGCGCGCAGAAAGACTCGATAAATTATCACTGGATCAGTTAGTGTTTCAGAAAAAATTTCTCATTTCTAAATTTTCGTCTATAGATAGGAGTCTTAATATGCTTCTTCGCTGTTACTTTTAAAGTCCAACTTAACGAACGAGAACTGAAAGGTGGATAAAAGACACTGTGATTTAATTTCAGTTTAATATGGTATTAATTGTTTACTGTTTACCATTATTCGTATTATTCATTACTATTTGTTAATTATTATTTATTATGAAATAGCAATATTTAGTCTAATTTATTTGGCGAGACCTAGTTAAGATAAGGTTTATAAACATATCTTGCTCACACTCCACGTGCCCCTGGTTACTGTTGTTGTATTCGCTGAGCTTCTTCGAGCCTACGCGAATATGGAGCTGTATGATTTATAAACACATGGACAAAATTGGCGCCAAAAACAAAATGTTTGACAATATGCTTTGGAATAGACATCATCTGCTTCGTATGTGCTGACATTGAGGAATTTCTTCTGAACAGCTAATCAACAGAGCGAATTATCCGCAGAAATTTTTGACGCTCCTTTTTTTTTTAGTGGAGGGGGAGAATTGAAGAGTCTTGCCTTGACAGTGTACATAGGTATTTATAACAATGAAGAAGGGTTATTTGCAGAATCCTCAAAGTCAGAAACGCGAAGTAAAAGGAACCAATATTGGTCTCTATTGAACGAAATTGTGTTGTGTGTTTAAAAATGATGGTATATTGAATAAGGTTTTATTCCAGTCTTACTCTGTCATATTATTAGCTGAATGATCTATGGCCTGTAGTATCACTTCACGTACTAGACAATTTTTAAGGGTTAGGTATTTTATTAGCTATCTTCGTTTCATTGTAGGCTAAACCTCATTTTAGATGCTGGAGAAGGGTACAGCTTCGATGCACGTGTACGTATTACACATGCTCTACTTATTGCTTCTAAGACAAGATGCTATTAATTCAAACCACGTCATTAATGCTCAGGTAACCTGCATTGCTCATTACTACTGAACACTTCACACGGCACCGCTAGAGTTAAAACATGGCTGAGGACAAGGTAAAGCAAGGGAATCGATTGGTGTGATGGGTAGCACGTGAGCACCAGCAAAGGACAATCGTGGTTTCGAAACCCACCTGAGGCTCCGGCTTTTCTTCATGTCTCAGCATCGTGGAGTTATATTTCACATCATTCTTTGCCATGAAAAAAAAAAGAATAGGCAGTAAATGAGGGTTAGAACACTTCGCAGTTATTTCTTTGGCGAAAAATGTGATCACGTCTAGTTTGAGTTGCCGTTTTGTTCCGAAGTTTTGGATATGTCTGCATTTCTACGGTCGTCTCTGTTCCGTTCTTCGTTAATCACTAGGGTAATCTGCTAACGGCACACCTGCCCGGGCTTTTGAGATGCCGTGCTCTAGCGGTTACAGTGGTAACTCGCATGCTCCGTAATCCGCTGCATGGCTAGTCACTGACTTGTTGCGCAGCGGCGTTTAAGCGCACGTATTGTGGCAATTAAGGAATTACGTTAATCGTTGGGGGAGCTCTAGAAATGGCTCCATCTAGCGAAGCTCTCTTATAGATCAGTTGTGTTATAATGTGGTACTAATGGACAGCCGCTTCGCGTGAAAATAGTTGTAACTCGTGGTTTATGTGTTTATGGCACAACGTTTGTTCTTCTAAGTACCCACTGCAAGTGTCAGTTGGTTAGCTGTGTGCAGCTTGGTTGAGCAGTTTTGGTTTTTCACGAGAAATTCGAGAGTCTAAACTCTAGCTATGCGGATCAACAATGTATGAAAGTTCTTTGTTTCTCTCATGTAGTTTATATAAAATATTGCATCCATAACACGAGCAAACCATGTGTTGATGGTAAAGTTTCGATAAAACAAAGGGCCAGTTTGAAAATTTATGCAAATTTAGTCACGAGTGTTACCTTTTATTTGCTGCATACCAAGTTTTTCATGGCAGAGTATGACATGAAATAGGACCTCAGTGGTGCAGTGTGTAATACGTGAGCTCCCGGAAAGGGTAATCGTGGTTCGGTCCAAGTTATGCGAATATCTCAGCATCATTTTGGTCATGAGTCCGGGAATTTTTTTTTGTTTCTTGTAGACAACCAACCTTCTTTTCTTTCTTAGTACACACAAAATTTTGTTCTTTAGAGGACGAAAAACGATATAATAGCATATTCTTTATTCTTTGTGGTCTTTTATACCGTAATGAGTTTTACCAAAATATAACACTTTCATTGTATGTAATGGTTTTATTTTGGTATCATAATTTGCTTGCACTAGGTGGATTTGTGTTGAATTTCAAATCTGTAGCCAAGCATCTTCGACTGATTTCGAGTATGTAGATTTATTTTCACAAAATATACCCTACCATCATGGTTGTGTGTGTATCACGAAGATGAGGAGTGAGTACAACTTACCACCTCTTGCTAGTCCCCGGTACGACGCGGTTTTACCCTCGATCTACTATAACCGGCATGAACTCGTTTATGAGCCAGCGTGTTCATCTAATGATTGCCGGGAAAGCCTTTTTGCATAGTTTACGACATTTTGATAGGCGCGCACCATATTGTTCGCTGGCGGCCTCGCGAATCGTCCGCGTCGCTCACTAATCGCACACTCAGTTCTCTTCAGTCAGCCATCTGCGTCGTATCCGACTCCTGGCAGTGGAAAAAACACAGCAAGTTGGAAGATGAACTCCATGAAGCTGCGTAATTCGGAGAGAAAGACATTTTAGAACAAACAATTGGAAAAGTGGAGTACGTGTTGCAGATGGCAATTTGCCAGTTTTTTATGGATCTCATCGGTTTGTAACATCCTCGAAATAAGACAGGGCAATCCAGAGTAGAGACTAAGTTGCTAGCCATGAATTCTTCCACTGATAAAAATGTTGACGTTCAAGTGGTTTTATTGGTCAAATTAAATAAACGAGCTTTCAGTAGTTTCAGTTGAATAACCGCTGTATAGTTAATCCTTTCTAAGTAACGCATTCTAATCTCATTCTGATTTTCAGGTAGTGCGAAGCATATCACGACATGTCCAGGTGAATATTTATCGGAATTTAGGAAACTATTTGTTTTCTCTACTGTAACACTTTTCATCGGCTAATCTTCAGGGAACGAATTGGCGAGAGGCTGCGCGCGTGTATAAGGTAATAGTCGAACAGTGGCAGAGTGCCGAGAAAGACAACATTACGGTAAGAGTACCGGGTGCTTTTCTTCTTTTCAGATTATTGCAGCTTTGATGCTATTATGTGGATTGTTCTTGTGGCATCCATGGCAGTAATGAATGCAACAAAAAATCGTTAATGAAATGTCTGAATTGTTTTTAGGGAAACGTTTTTTAAAAAAATTAGGAATCAGAATTTCTATCGGCGAGCTATCATGTACACATTTAAAGTGTCAGTTTGGTTGTAGTTTTATCATCCGTAGCCCGGTATACTGTCGACAAACTCGAGTGGTGTCCCGCAATTATTCTATTCATTCCTATCGCTCGTCAGAGCTGCTTAGTGAATTACTGTCACTTGAAGCATTAGGACAGCATAAAGCGTGATGTTGTTTATGTTTTATCTCACTAAGAGGATAACCACGGCTACCTAACTGTTGTTCCGTGGGGTAGAGTTAACTCAGAGCTTGATTCATAATGGAAGTGTCTTAATTTGTGTTACTTTCATGGGAGATGAAATTCTTGAAGTACATCGCATGTTGGCACCCTACAATTGTGCCACTCAGCCATGATAAAACGGATAGTTATTGAAGAAAATGACAGTTCAGCTGTTGAAATGTGTTTAATTTTTCCAAGTCACCGTAGCGTGACGCGAGTCTGTCGCCAGACGCGATTATATTTAGACGACATATCAACCCAACATATGCTTTTTCGTCCCAAAATGACAATTGGTGTAGAACCTAGTAACTCGGCTTCTATGCTTTTCTAATTTTTATTTCCACTTCTGCAGCATTGTATAGAACACTTGTTTTTGGAATCCATTTGACATTTTCTATTTGTGTTGTGATCTGTGGCTTTGCCATAGTTGCGTGAATGTGCATGTTTATGTATATGTATATACACATATATACATATGTACATATATATATGTATATATTCGATCTTTTTATGAGGATAGGTTCCTCTAAGATTGTATCTCCTTGAGTCGCTGGCAACGTTGGTGTACTTGTGCCGACCAACCCGAGCGGCATTTAATGTGTCAGACACCTGGCGCTGTTCGGGGGCATGAAATCTGACCCTCGTCACAGAATGTTGTTAAATTGTTAATGACCTCTCCGCTGTGACAATTCCGTAACCCTTTCAACGAGCCGCCGCAAGACGAAACATATGTACCGAATGCGATGAATGTGATGAGATGATGCGCTAAGTCATCTAATTGTCATATTTTAATTCCTGAAAGCTCAGAAAGGGCCGCAGAGGAGCTTCATGAGGTAATAAAAGTTCGAACAGTGGGTTGAGTGCTGACAATGTTTAGATTGGTGACATCTTGAGCGGATTGGAGTTTGATAAGCTGCAAATTTCACCTGCCACTAGGCCAAGTTCGCCGTCGTCGAGGAAGAATGTTTCCACAGTCGATTCCAGTGCATCAATTACCATTGTCAGAAAGCAAGCACCAACTCATGTAAGGACGGTTGTTCCATAATTCGCCACTATACCTGGTAAAATTACTTTTCAGACTCGTGTGCGTGATCGATTGCTTGGTCTTCTGTCAGCGTCAGGATTACGTGTGGACCTACCGTCGGCGGTCTCCGTTGTATTTTCGCAGAGTGATCTAGTCAGCACCGCTTCGTCAAATGAAAGAATTTGTACTTCGTCACAGGTATACCAGCAACGGGAATCTTTACTGCTAAGGAAAGCAGAAATAGGGAGAATTTCAGGAAATCGCTTCCACAACGTCATTACCCGATCCTTCGGCAAGCATCACCGACTCTTTCCCAAGAGTCTTCAAAGTTGTAGCCTCTAACATCCTGTTGTTGGGTTATCAGTTTTTTGCATGTTTTCTTGCAGGAATTCGATTTTTTGGAAGCGGAACACGATAGTGTTTCTGAGACTGCAGACAGCTGCTTTGGATGGTTGTCGACAATGCGCCCAAGATCAATAGGTGATGAACCACCTCACGACGACGATGTTGATCTAGATGAAGACGAGGTATGTTGTGGTGTACTGCGATCAATGTTGTCCTTTCCTTATTCGTAATTCGCGAGGAACTGCGCTATTTTATAGGATTCTGAAACTGCCCAGGCTCATTCAGAGGGAGTAGGAGCATCAACGTCTCGCCTTTCACAAACTTCCATTTCTTCTGACCGGACCCCCTGTGCTTCGGAAGTGGATGAAGATGAAGATGGCAAGTAATGATCTTGCGAGCTGCTTCAATTACTTAACTGAGTTAGTTTTAGAAGCAGACGATGGATTTGGCGATATATCTTCACCAGCCAGCGCATTGCAAGCCCATGACAGTGTTAGTCCACCTTCTGCCGTTTCGAGGAACACACTTGAGAAGAGGTATACAGATTTTTCATATTTGTATTACGTTCGTATGATACAACACATCAATTCAGACAAGGTGATAATCTAAATGGTGTTGATGAAGAGTCAATAGATGGGTCATCGTTCTGCTGTCGCTCGCGTGCCTCAGTTTGTGAATTATACTCACAGAAAACTCCACTAACACTTTCTGTGTACATCCAGTGTCCACATCATCTTGATGGAAAGGTGCTGTCGCATACAGTTTCACTTTGAGATCGTAACTACATATGCTGTTTTTTAACAGGTTGATAACATATGGATTTCGACAGTGGCTGAACTGCAGGATGATTCCGAAGGCGAACTTACGGCGTACGCGACTCTACTATTCACACAGCTTTTCAGGGTTGGTGAAATTCTGCCTTCTGACCACCCTCCTCTTCCACACGTCCTACGTCAAAGCTTCCTATCTTAGTGTGTTTGCTAACGCTTAACCTCATGACCAGGGCTTCTCATAACGCGCGCTATTTTCGACACGTTGTCACCTGATCATGGCTTCTAGGCTAATCTGCTCTACCGTATCGGATTTCAAATTTGTGCTCTGTGCTTTGGGATCACATGAATTTCACAGGCATCCTATTTACATCTTGCTCTCACTTTATGAAGCCCGAGCCTCTGATAACTTTAAATCAGCTCAGCAGATAAGTTTGAGGAATCGAAGTGAGATCAGATCCATTTGTTTTACATCTTCAGTGCACCAGTTTAATGTAGAAGTATACAAGTGTGTCCGACACATCCACCAATTTTATAATCATCCAATTCCTATTGCTTTCAGTCGTGCTGTGGTCGAGTAACATCGTTGTTACGTGATGCGATGCACATTCTGTCTTCACGTTCATTGACTCGAACACTTGCTCAAGCGCAAGGTGTCCTAACTGAAGTTGCGGATTGTCCATTCCTCTTCGTCACTGCACAATATGTAAAACTTTTTTTGCTGTTTTTTTCTATTTTGAAACTTAATCACTTCGTGTTTCCTTCCAGCTTCGTTGTTCTGGAGTTCTTTCTCGTTTGAAACTTTCATTGTTTGAGCTTCGCGAACATTGGGAGACGTTTAATGAAAGAAAGGAGCAAAGCATTCGGGTTAGTTCAGCGTTCTCATTTGTTTCCAACTAATGGTCTTCTTTCACCGCATTATTTGCTTGCGATGTTTTCCCTGTAGTCATCTGATTGCAAATTAGGTGCTGCTTTCTAACCGGAGGGTGTGGAAATTGACGAAATTTAGAACCAAAAGCTTTGTGACGTTGTGCTCATCTTTTTGTTTAAGTGTTCTAAGACAGCAAATAAACATCGTTATTTGTGCTTTTCGAAATCTAATTACCGTTTTTCAGTTGTTGAATTCGGTAAAATCTGCGCACAAACTAAACGCCCTTGTTGGTTCGACATCTTCGTTCACAGTGAACAGTGTGAGTGTCTTTAGAGTCACTTCTAACATAGTGAACACGCAATGATTGTGTGTTCTTTGACGAGTACAAGAGAGCGCCTAAGAGATAGGATCGCTGCATCGTTGGAAATCGCTAGGTTACCTCATAAAATGTAATGGGACTGAGGAAAATAGTAATGGTATCGTCGTTTCACAAGCGCCGCTTCAATTGTATTTTAGCTGGTTGTCAATAGGGTCCTGCAATTAAGTTTTCTAAACAACTATCGCTAACACTTTATTGCCTTTGAACCTACGCATTTGCAGGCCAAAAACAGCTGCGGTATATTGCGGAGTAGTCCTTACAATATTCTGAAGACCATCATGAAGTACAACCACAACATTGCTGAGATATTTGCAAAACTCTGGACCGCAGGTGTCTATGGTGGGGAACGAACGCGATATTGTCCTTTCCGGGGAATAACGCATTCACCACCACACCATGCGGGTCCTTCGTTTCGCCTCTCTCGCAGCTACTTCTATCGATCAGCGCCATCAGCAATCACCCGTCAACGGGATTGATCTGAGGAACCCACATCGGCATTGAACCCAGTTAAGCTGAGGTTGTAGTTGAAATAACGTTGTAGTTGTATTTCGCTTAGTACCCTGCCGTGAAAATCGTAGTAGGCATAAAATAAAAGGTAAACCATCATGAAGATTCAAATCTATGTAGTCTTGCATTTTTACCGAAGTTCAATTAAGAGATAAGAAAGAGATACAAATGTACGACTGTGCAGTTTAAGTCCCTTGTTGGCCCCAAACCGGTTCTCTGATGAGTTCTAATCTTAATGTGTTGATTGAGACGCCAGGAGACGACGGTTTGCGCGCGCAGATTATCTTAGAGCGGAAAGCGATTAGACATGCGCGTTGACACCGACTCTATGCTGACCTGTAGATTAGACTGCTGGCACTGCAAGTGTGATTCTCGGCATTTTGAAATCTTGACAAGAAAGGATTTCTTTACAGGAAATGGAGCTTGGAAAGCTGCTCAGCAAGCTGTTTTTTCAGTTGATGCTTATGAGTGACTCTCTCAACGATATGGTTATATTGGTGAGCGAGTCACATGGCTCTCAGGCAAGCAAGCTACTGTCTGCTGTTTGTTATATAAAGAAAATTTTAAACTTTTGTCAAAACCGCATTAAACAAAATTCTTCGAATTTCTGAGTACTGGCTTGTCCACTACTTACTTGTTATCAGGATTTGACCTATAGAAGTTGTTTAGAGTATCATAACATTTCTATGTTCTTATTTGTAAGTTATTACTAGGTGAGTTAGATCGTACAATGAGTATAATATAGTCACCTCCTACGGTATATAGGTGCGCCAATAAATCTTCGCCGGGAATTGCTTTGGCGCTATGGCGGAAACGTCGTTAATATGGTTCCCTTTTATAGACTGTCCGTAGTGTAATGCTGGCCTCTTTACTTCGTTACCTAAGCACTCATGGGCTTCATTTCTAACGCCACGCTACGAAATTCTTTACCAAAATCTTTATTGTGCCTTTGTTGCCTTTGTGTTCTGAAGTGGCTTTCCGGCTCCTTTTCTGCTTGAATAGTCACAATGCTCTAAGCGGTCAGAAACAGAGTAAAAGCATTATGCATGTATGTATGTATGTATGTATGTATGTGTGTATGTACGTATGCATGAATGTACGTATGTATGCTTATATATGCGTGTTTGTGTTTGTGTGTATATGTGTACATGTGTTTTTGATGACCGTATTCGTGCCTTGCATTTCGTTTTGTTTGGTTCCTATCCCTCAGCTGCTTTATCTTGGGAATACTGACAACCACAGGTATAATTTTAAACTTGATCTATTGACAGTGGTATGTGGATGTTTGTAAGGGGCGGTAAAGTTCACTCTGTGATAATGTGGACCCACCTGTCATTGACGACATGTTGCCATATTTGGTGCCCTCATACCAACCACAGTCACCGATTGGATTTCAACAGACAGCCACTGGTTTGTGTACGTTTGCGATCACTAACGCTACAGTTAGAATGCCGTGGTACAGTATACATCATGTCCAGGGCTCCTTGTTGAAAGTGGTTTCATCACTTTGTGTACGAAGTCGCTTTATTCGTCACACTTATAGAGCTCTGCCGTTTATGATAATCGAGGGAAAGCATGTATCATACTATAGTGTTATGTAATCCAAGATTAAAAACGTGCCTTTTTCCCATATTTTACATTTGACTTTAGGCGTATACGTTGTCTCCGGCAGTGTTGGATCATCAGAGGGAACTGTTGATTTGTGTCGCTGACTTACCCCAACGCGATTTGCAATCTTCTGTACTTTCGGAGCATTCTGGCGATTCTTTAGTACTGCTGATGACCAACAAACGTTATGCGCAAGCCCTGCATACTTTAAGACAACTCAGGTAGTTTGTCTTCCATAGTCACGGTCACCTTTGTCGTAAATTAAAGCTTTGCTTTATTACCACATTGTAGTATTTTTTCAAGAGGTCGCTGACATTACCTATTAAAAGCAAGCTATGGTTAGCTGTTTGCTTAACGCTGCAGTCACTGATCGTACGTTTATATGCAAATTTGTGTAGCGATTAGGCGTTCGCTCTCTCTCTCTCAGCTACCTACCGAGATCATAGGAGACTGGCTCTGCGTGCGTGTTTGTCGACTAGTTGTGATGATTGAGAAGGTCAAGTGGACAGACCTGAAATTCAAATAATCCTCATCCATCCCCAAATTTAATTTTTTATCTTTTCACTTTAGAATGTTAGTCAAACAATAATTGTGCATTTCCTGTGGGCAAATTTCTTAGGTTTTTGCGATAGCTGTTGTCGAATACCGTTATGTTCGCTCGCGCTCGTCTTAACAACTTCTCCGAGATCATAGCGTTCTCCTTGTTGAAATTTGCGGATCATTATTTACGTGATACTTGTGCGCAGACATAGACAGAAGAAAAGTGGATTGCGTGCAGGGCTTAGTGGGCTAACTAGCAGCCACCTCCACCCACCACCCTCACATGTCTCACTACCGTAGTCTATCACTTCAGATCGCCTCCTTTTTTTGGGGGACACTATGACCTTTTCGTTTCAGGACAGCGTTTGGGCAAGAATTTGGTTGTTGTGAGGCGTCTGACATCGACGTGCTGCTGCTGCTGTTTTGCCGAAGTCATTTGCTAAAGGCATGGGCTTTAGTGGGTGCTGTCCCTGATGTTCTCAGACGACAGAGTCAGTGCCTTCGTGATGCCAACGCGGATATGGCTTCGGCAGTACGACGTCTAGCTTCCGATTCAGCACCGTCTCATAGAACCACAGCATCATCGTTGACCGATTCATTCCAGAAGATTTCGTATCTTCCAGATTGAATGTAGATGGTCTGTCTATAAGCACTCTACAAATGTTTTCTTTTTCACGAACGATTCCTTCATCAACCTTGCGGAGAGCTGGTTCGTAGCTCAATGTTTTATACAGCAACGTTGATTTATGATGTATATGTGTTCTGGTATATAAAAGTCTGTTCATACGCATCAGTGTTTGTCAAAATTTGCGAGGCGCTTAAGAGGATCACACGAAAAAATTCTCATTGAAAATGCGAAAATATAGCGTTGCCCTATCGTGTGCTTGATTCATGATAGAGAAAAGCTCCACAGTAACCGTTTAGCATCAACCTCGAGAGTTTGTAAATGTAATCTTTTCAGTGGACTGACGCAAAGATTTAGTTATGTAGCTGTTGTCCATAGCTACGGGCAATGAAAGTAAACTGGGTCTATGTCAATTTCCTTGTATTCCCCACTATGTTGTTCAGACACTAGGAAACATTTATTATCACGGGGAATGGACGGCTTCAGTAATTGAACACAGATTGTATAGGAGCTTTCATCTATTGGGATATCCGTCTGCGGCAGACCGTGCACACAAACGGGCATCATGAATAACAAAAAGGAAAGGACTAAAGCTGAGCAGTTGATATATTCTCAGTGATCTGTATATTCATAGCAATATGCACATGCCAATATAGTTAAGCCCGAACAATGAGTCATAGAAGATCAAAGGTACAAAATAATAGCTAAAGCTGCTGTAAATCTTCACTAATAGTTACTTCTGACGGTAGCTGTAGAACTTATGAACTATTTTCTCTATCAATATATATAATTTAGATCATCATCACTTTCTGTTACCTTTTTCTTGTAATTGTACAGCAGCTTGCGCTACTAGGGACATATCTCTAAAAAAATGATATGTCTGGCTTAAGAATAGTGGCGTATCCATCGGAAGCAGATGGAGCAGCCTAGGGCCCGTCGTTACATGATTAGATTAGAATTTTATAAAATGTAGTGTCATGGTCTTGACAAGAGATCAGAAACATCGAATCCGCCCTTACGAGAGGCTTGAGGCACTACCGGGGGACTGATGCCTGTAGGCAACAACGGAGGTCTTAATAGAGCCGCTTGCCATTGAGATATCATATCCGTTCTGGGATAGAACATCTCTGATGGAAAAGTGAAGGGGAACATTTGTGGTGGCAGTCGAGAATGACATGAGGAGTTAATGGAAGTTGACACTGGTGGTGACGGCTTTGGAGGCTGCTCTCGAATTTTTTTAGGAGCTGGATCATCATCCTCAGAAGCGTCCTCCGAAGGATGGGCTGAAGACGACCGAGGTGATTGCTGCTCACGGGTGTGCGTCTGTAACAAGCGTTTCTTTTCCCGTTTTCCGGCGCCAGCGTCACGAAATCCTTTCGCAAACGGGTTGTGGTCGATTTTCAACTGAGTCACCTATAAATGTTCAATATTAGTGCCAATCTGAACTGAGTCTTATTTTGGCTAGCATTTCTAGGTCATGTATCACTGGCTAAACTGGTACTGATTAGGAGAAGCGCAAACCGCAGCGAAATCGCACTCAGCTTGACTGCGATTCGTATCTGTAGTGTACACAAAGCAAGCGCTGTTACATTCAATCGCACCACCTCAGCACATGCGATAAATGATAATACTAGTATTGGGATTAACTGCCAACACGGTAGCTTTTAATAGCGCACAATTTCACAATAAGACCGATCGTCAACGAAGAAAATAAACCTTCTCATTCTGGTAAGCCGTAACAGCGATGAACTCAGTTTCCTTGAAGACAAACGTTCTGAATGTTGAATAGGGCAGATTCATTATGTCTGCGCATCGAACAATGTGCAGTCGTGGCTGGTATTTGTGCATTGAATTGAGGATTGTCTGAAAGTGTGGAATGTAATAGGAAGCCGAAGCTAAGAAGGATTTTCCAACCAAAATCGCTGGAAAGGGAAAGTTTTGGATCACAAATATTGACAAACCCTGTGTCAAACTTGTGGAGACAGAATCAACCTGGAGATGAAAGTCTTGATGACGTTGCAATAATTGATGAAGTATGAAATGACATGAAAACAGGGACACCGAAGACCCGGGTCGAAAGTGCTTGACAAGGTTTCTATAAACAGTTGCGTGAGTGGGTAATTACGCTCATTCACCTTGGGGTGCGATTTGAGCCGCCACAGTCGTCGTTCATTGACGGTTAAATTGCACCGATTATCGTTGTCTGGCACTGAGACAGAAGATCCTGGCGTGACAGTAACGATTTTAGACCGAAAATGCTGTTTAGAAGAAGTTTATTAAGACGCTCAATGTGGCTCGTAAGAGCAGTGAAATATGATGTCCTTTTCTAAGAAAAAAGTGTTTGCAGTAGCCGTGGTGACATCCACACTTGGAAGAAAGAAGCGTGTCGCTAGTGCTTGCATGGATTTCTCACCAACAATAAATTTTTACTCAGACAGACTAATCAAATATAAAGCGACACGAATGGAATAATAACTAGAATCAAAGAACACTAACAGGAGGCTGAGACGGTGCAATGTGCTGGCTTGAGATGTCTAAGTAAATAGCATTCAAAATGGCCGAAAGAATAGAAATCCAAAATTATGGATGATGGGACTCATGAAGGAGAGCGAAAAGAACCAATGCAAATATAGGCCATCAAAAGACAATATGTCCAAAACTCACATATCCTTGCTTATCAGAAATATTGTTGGTGAGTTTCAGTTTGTGAAAATTTGCACCTTTAGCCATCCAGTGCTCGCCTGTAGCAGGCGAATCCGGATGAATATACATCCTTTTCGGCATTTCCGGATCTGCCTTTCCAGCAACCATCCACCTAAGCATTAATTTGCAAAAATAGCAACTGAAATTGGCGGGAACTTTGAAAATGAATCTAAGCAAAGTACAAATAAAAGAGTTTCGTAGTCTCAGAAACCTAATAAAGGTTGATGGAGCGAAAAATAGCACTCACTAAAATAAACGACTAGCAAATTAATGACTTTTCATAAAATGCAGTGTTATGGACAAATCGGCGATAAATTAACAACAGGCAATATTGTACACACAGGAACCCACGTACTAAACAGATTTAGAGACCTGCCATGACAAGATGATTCAAAAAAGCGTTAATGACGTTTAGACACACTTCCTTTATTGATTTAGTAGACTAACCGGCTATTATTAAATTTATAACGACATTCATCCGCTGGAACCAAATCCATTAGGAATATATACTTGCTCTTTTTATCTAAGCCAGAGATCTTCACTCGAAACGCTGGGAATATTCGTCTGAATATAGCTAAATTTAGGGATACGATAAGCGCTAGAATTCTATAAGTCGAGCAATTAATCATTAACGACTACCTCCCACTTTTGGTAATAACCATTTCAGTACCGCACGAGTTAAACGAGTTCCAAAGCTCCTTATCATCGAGTTCAACTTGAGGATCATCTTGAATACCGTCGTCATCATCTCGTGCTCGCATTTCGTGTAAATCAGGTGGCAGACGGGGAAAGAATCCGGCTGCTCCGGGGAGTGCGGGAATGTGACCCATGAAGGGCAGAATGTTCAGATCAGGACGGCTCAGAAACGGGTTGAACGCCATGCTCGCATCTCACACGCGCAACTGCCGAAATTGACACCTCAACTTGCGCCCCGCCCGCCGCCCGTAATTGGCCGCAGCCGCCGAGGGCGGACCCACGTCGGCGGGTGCAGCCGCTCAGCCCACCTACGGTTACGGTAGCGGTGCACGACCACTCACTACCGGCGACGGCCGTAGAGGAACATCTTGCAGACGATTGCTGCATAGATCATGCCTACGGCTTGTCCACTGCTATTTGTAGCTTACTGTTGCCAACTCTTAGAATTCCCGCTTTACTATTCGCAGTCCCTACTTTTTCCTATGAATATAGTCTCGAAGAGTTTTAACAGTGCTGTCATGACACGTTTTTAACTGCTATGGCTGTTTTCGTCTGCCTTCACCTTTTAGGGTTTTCTCGTTCACTTTCTGATTGTGGATTTATCAGCAGCTCTTTGCTCGCTTGGATATCACTTTTCACGTTCAATTCGTACTCAATGAATCAGCACATGGATTTCATCATATTTTTATTCATCACGAGAATGCGAATTAATGATAGACGTAGATGACAGCGTGGGTGTACGGTGTGGCGACTCATGGCGAGAAATCCTCGCTGGGAAAGGGGCGTTAATCGATCGCCACACAGCTGATTTGTAGTGAAACACTGCTGTGCAATTACGCGCAGTGTCGCACAAAAATCGGCATCGGCACTTCGACAGCATCGTAGGCCGCCGACGTGTACGATCTGTTTGGGGCTGGTTGGGAGACAATCTGGGGGTTCTCGAAACCTCGAGCCAACTGACTACAAACAACAAACAACGCCCATAAAACAACAACTGTAACAATCGCGCATGAACTAATTAAGTGATCTTAAGCTTTCAAAATTAGAGTCTCTGCTTATTTCATCTTCGTCACGGATGAGAATAGCAATCAGAGCGTGTAAAGTGTGCTCTTGCTGCGATGTCAGCAGCTTCACACCGCCATGCGTCCAGCCAGTGTGCGACTTCTGGTGTGCGTCTTCTTCCGTTGCTTGGTCCAATTCACGTAGCAATGAGTACACTCCCCGTTTTCGAAGATACTGGCGAGAAATTCGCGTGGAACATAACTGGAAAATTTTTAGTGCTGTCTTATAGGGATCAACAGAGAGCTCGTACTCACCTGATAAAGTGCTTCAATAAGTTTCTGCCTCATCTGTACTGATTTCTCACGAGTTCCTTCGTAGTACTGTAGCCTTAGCGGCAATTTCTCGATTTCATCGTCACTCAATTTGTCCGAACAATCAGCCAACGGAATCAATAGAGACACCAGGTACATGTCCGACTCGTCAGCCAGCGAAGAATGAAGTGCTATAATAGAGATCACAAAATAGCAAAAAAAAACAGCGGTGACAAAGTCTGTCAAGCACCCGTTCTCTGTGGTGATAAACGACATTATCTAATGATGCCATTACAATCGTTCTGGGTACCCATACCACCATAATGATTCTCTCTAGTAGCACTTGACGTGGTGACGACCATAATCAGGCACACTTACAGCAAGCCGGCACATGTTCACGCGCATAAAGCCAGATGTCGAAACGATTCTGCTGTCGTCATTTGCTCACGAGTGCGGGCTCGTCTAAGTGTGCGACACAATGTTTTCAAGGTATACGCGGGACACAATACGCTCTTAATGGACAATCGCGAGCAGTGTTGACCATAATAAACATCTAGTGTTAGGTAAATGTGAACACAACGGCGGCGCTTTTCACATTCGCACTTATAAGCAGACTTAACGGGCTACGGTAGTGAAGTCGACCATTGCGCTGTTGCTGGTGATGTTAAGTGAGAAGAAGAACAGCAGTGTTTGCGCCTCAGTGAGATATTATGTGTCATACGCACAACAGGTGTTTACTGATAGACCACCATGAGGTGACGAACGGACGCCACACATCCGTAGTAACTACGTGCGTCAGAAAACGCAGTAGTGAAATGCTCGAAATTTTCTGTTTAAAACAAGAAAAACTCAATCTAAGAGGATTTTATCACTGAGTCGACGACCTCATCAACACAAATCGTTAAATTGAAGAGAGTAGGTGTCATCATCAGTAGTTAGGCTGAAGTCCTTGGGGTCTCGTGCGAAGCGGCTCATTGCTTCTCTAATTGTGCTCAATTCCACAAGTTGGGGCGCCAAATTGAACAACACGAGCCAGGCGCTCTGGCAATCCATGAAGCACACGCTCTCACACCACCGGCTGACTTTAATGCCATTGTGACACCGGCTGAGAAACAAGTGAAAAGATAATTAGTGTCTAAACGACGCGAATAGAATAACAACGAATCACTCGCGTGTGGCGCACAGAGTTGCGTTAGCCATTTGCCTAAATAATTATCTTGTTTGACGGATACGGTAAGACCAGACCTGCCTTAGATGCTGTGTGAAGGCTGCACACCAGTTTCGATGCAGTTTGAAGGGGTTATGGGAACTACATAAACGTTATACCGTGTACCCATTAGACAAACCTAAGTTCCTTTATTTACAAAAATGAGCTGTCTATTATGAATATAAATGTATGTTATTTGAGCTAAGCAGAATTTCTACTTAGTGGTAGAATAAACTGGGATGAGTCGTTTGTTTTGGTTTTTTCTTGTCTGCATGTAGAAAGGAATTGTGTATAGAGAAGAAATTTTGAATTTTAAAGATTTTCAAAGTGCTTTACCGTGATTAGCCATCTAGTGGAGCAAGCATTGAGCAGAGGTTAGAAATGAATAATTAATGAAGGCCGTTTGTGAAAATCACTGAGCGGTAACGAGATAATCATCACATCTAATGAAAAGAAATCATAGCTGTATTTTAATCCACTGCGACACTTCATGTATAACTGCTGGAGCAAGTCAGCTGCCGCGTAGACATAAAGTCAGTAACAGTAGTCGTGTAAGGCGAGCGGCTGACACCAGAACTATAGGCTGGTCGACAATTGCTAACATAACACTGTACTATTTTGTAGATAACATGCTAATTAGCACCGCATAGTATCCGGCCTCCATGTGTGCTTAAAAACAAAGCCCACGGATCTGGCAATTTGAGAATACGGAATTCAGCGATGAAATACGCAACTTTCTACACCCTCTAAATTCGATTTACAGCTTCTCCGGCAACGCAATCAAAGAGCGACGACAAAGAAGCAAGCAGTCGTGATATATGCTATACCTTAGCGAGATATCATCCTACTTATTCCCTCTCGAAAAACTAGTCGGTATGACCAAAATTGACATAAATTCGAGAAATTATTTGAGTTTGACTACCACTCAGTATTTTATAGCTCAATGCTATCGGCTTAACAGTCTCGCTACGGGTTAGAGAACCCTAGAGGAAATCGATGTGTTGTGAATGACACCGAACTGTAAGAGGATGAGCATTATAACACACTAATACAAAGGCAAATTCTTGCCATCTTTGTGTTAATCATTAGTAAACGGCATTCGATAACAGTATATTGCTACAGTTTTATAGCAATATACTTCCGATTACCTTTACATCACTTCTCGATTCCTTAGTTACTATGCGATGTGCTGCTTGGATGTGCTCAAAACACACATTTACTCAAGATATTGTGAATTCTCCACGCCCTTCAACACAAGCTGCGAATGAAAACGAAATCACGGTTGCTGCCGCCCGCTGTTAAGAGTGATAAAACAATCAGATCGCATGTGTTTACCCACGCAGCACATACGGCACGCAAACATTGTAGCATCGCCCGCCACTGACAAGGAAATAGCTCTCCACATACCTCCGAAGCAACCGACCACTGCAATCGCTAAATTGCCATATAGATTGAGTTCCGACGCTGACAATAGGACAAGAAAGCTAGTTATCTGTATGTGACCGGGGTACTGAGAGCTTCTATAGATGGCAAACGTTGCTGAGCAGTCGCCCGAAGTTGCTCCTTTCACATACAATTACTTCGAAATTATTGCACAGTCTACAATAGACATTTGGGCGAAAATCGAGACCCATGAAAAAAACGAGAAAGTCCGATTATGCTCTTAGAGTACTAAGCCAAAACAAAGTTTGAAGTGGTGTGTGTTTGATAACACTTAAGCGTCGATCACGGTGAAATGTTTCCTGTGTTCCTGTCGAACATGACATATCAGATGTCGGATTAAGCTGAGGTCAAGAGAGTCGCGACCACTACGCAAACATAATGCAAAGAACAGCAGCCGAGTGTATGGCAATGATTTCAAGGCAGATTTGAGTGTAAAGACTAGCTGGGACAGATTACTGGTTCTAACTGCAATATACTACTAGAATTTTTTCATCACAATGGAATTGCCCTAGAGTTCAATAGGCCATTGCTTCTAATACTTCCTCAATGTCCACTTGTTTAATCTCGACTTTTAACGCTCCACGTATGACACTGGAGTGGTCCAGTAACCATATAATTAAGACGAAATGGTGAACAAAACGCCGACTGAAAAGCAAACTCCTGAATATTTCCTTCGGAAATAATGGATCTATAAATAGCGTCCATTCACAGCCGTAAATACAGTGTTAAGATCGTAATTAATGAGTTTTGGAGGTCCAATGTGACTATGAAAATCTTTGAAGTCAATCATATTCGGCCGGAAAGGGTAGCACTACTGGAATAAATTATTGCGTTTCGTCTGCGATTGTGAAGTGCCCTGAGTACTAACGACCAGCTCTAGCGAACAACGCCAAGCCAGAGTTCGAATAAGATGTCCGTCCTTGTAGCGATGAGGTTGCATAAAACCTACAACCGTATTCGAAATGTCAAGTTTCCGCGATGCGCTCATCTATCATCGGAATTCGCTGCGTGACGAAGCACACGCGACCGGGGCGGCTACGCTTCAAAGAGATTTGCAAGGCAGAAAGATGGAACATTCACATAACAAGGACGTCAGCATAGGATCGCATCCATCTCGCTACCTGGACGTCGGTCGTGGTGGCGGTGGCGACCTCCCACTCCATTCTTTCCGCGCCGTCCGTCTCATTTTCCCAATTTTCTCGCCACGCGTGTTAACACAGCCATAAACCAGCACCAGTCGACCGTCAAGACTGATGTCATAGTAAAATGTGAGAAACGAGAATTTTCACAGTTTTAGCGAACATAAGTAAGAATACTTCTTTCATCACTGTGAAAAATATGGTCACACAGAAGAAATCGCCGAAATTCAAAGGTGTGTGGTCAAAAATTAAACTCGATTAAAGTTTTGAAGTATTGGATTAAAAAGCATCTCACCAAGGGAATCTAATGGCCAGTTACGTAACGATGAGAAGACGCTAAACGAAAAAAGATAAGTGGGACAAATTCTGAAGAACCTATGAGCGATCAAAAACTCTATGACAATCGATTTCAATGACGCTTAAACATAGCACAGCTCAGAATATACAGTACAACCCAAGTTCCATTCCAGATCAACAACAGGAACTAATTTCGGGTCTGTCTCGATATGCATGTTCAACCAATCGTTGCATAAGTCAATTCGATTAACAACGTGTCACTATGTTTACTTCGTGGCATGGTTCTCCAAAACATATTTAAAACGAAAGCTTAGACCAACCTAATACCTTAATCTGAACATGTTACTTCAACGAATTAGCATAACGACCAGCCCATAAGAAAAAAAACTCCACCGCACCGCAGTCAAGTAATTCTGGAGATGAAACAGCCGCTCACAGCTACATAACACATTAAGTTTGTCTGACTAGAACTGTATGTGGTCAGATTTACTCAACGCAGCAATGGCAATTGAAATTCTATAACCACCTCTACAAAACGTTAATTAATAACTGTGAAGAAAACTTTTCCATTTATGCCATCCATAAAAAATAGTTCCAGATACAACCACAACGTTGCTGAAATATTTGCAAAACTCTGGACCGCAGGTGTCTATGGTGGGGTACGAACGCGCTGTTATCCTTTCCGGGGAGTAACGCGTTCACGAAGGGCGAAACGAAGGACCCGCATGGTGTGGTGGTGAACGCGTTACTCCCCGGAAAGGATAATAGCGCGTTCGTTCCCCACCATAGACACCTGCGGTCCAGAGTTTTGCAAATATTTCAGCAACGTTGTGGTTGTATTTCGCTTAGTAACCTGCCATGAAAATTATAGAAGGCAGAAAACAAAACGTTAAACATAGTTCCAGATAGTTCAAAATATTATATATAAATGGAAAAATTTCTACTTCAATAACGGGACAAATTAAGTACCTATCAAAGAACGAAAGAGAATGAACTGAATAAAAGAGAAAGAATGGATGGGTAAGCAAACACGTGGATCATTCTGTCTTTTAAAAAGCATGGTTAATACAAGGTGAAACTTACCATCTTCGAATGCAAGATTCCTTAGAATGTCGGCGGCTGCTTCCTTTTTTTTCTCCACCACTGTTAAAGGGCATATCCTGCTCAATCGTTTTGAATCGACTAACTGATATCTAACCGAACACAGTGTGGATAGATTCACCAAAGTGTAACCAATAAGACAGGCGAATGAATTCTCCGGTGAGGACGAGAAAAGCTCTGAAATAGTGAATCCATGTGAAATCGGATAATGAAAAGAACATATTGATTCGCTTACTATCACACAGAAGTAAGAATTCCAGGTTTTGGGCAAAAACTGTGCTCTTCTGTCCACACACGTAAGTGTAAACAATACAGTTCCAGAAATCAAACTTAGGAGAAGATATTATCAGTTGGAAACAAGGATAGGAAAAAAAGGACCACAAGCGAAACCCACATCATAAATCAATTTTTAAAACGAGCTTAATCCTAAGACAGCTTTCACATTTCACATCACTGAGAAAAAAGTTCACCACCTTGTGTCTGGTTCAACTTTATATCCCCCTTTTTCATAGGACCTCAAAATGCGATGTATTCATTGATTCATAGTACTGAAAATGCCGCACTACTAAGTTGGGCATCTCTGTGGGCATTCACAGTTGTAACCGATGTTCCGCTCATACTGTAATGCAAATGAAAGGCGGAAGAATCACTAGCACCTCTCATGCCCAGAACTACAGGTGGCGTGTCAACACGTCCGCTGCAGACGGACCGTGGTGATTCGATTAGCGGTTGGACCCGTCGACGGGCGGGGGCTCGTCTCCATCACTGGTGGACCGTCTCCGTTGCCGCTTTTTCTGCCAGAAACGGTACTCAACAGGAGCCGCCGCCGCCGCCGAAGCGAACTCGCATTTATGGCGTTCTCTAAGTCAACAACCTTTGTGTTAAACATTTAACACTTCTCCATTTTATTATCCTGTGATAAAAATCGACTTTATCGTCGAAAACAGGAAAAAGAGCTTTCAAAGTGGCACTGTACATAGCCCAAATAAAATCGGAATAATCTCCGATCTCAACCTCAATAATGTGAGGTCCAAAGATGGTTCCTAAAGCAACTACGCTTTGTCGCTTGAAATCTACAAGCCAGATCAAACTCTATAGACTGAATCCACAAAAAATACGTCGAAGAGTTTCGCCTATTAATCACTTTTCCAAACTAAAAAAATCTATGCATATCTGATTTTGCTTCTCCATGTGCAGTTTAGGAAGGGCTCATTATGACGTGTAAACTAAAATGGCGTAATGGAGCGGCCAAAAGCATGTGATATGAGCTATCAGAATTGACCTATATCGTATAACCTGCCCCGTAACGAGCTCATAAATCACTGTAAAGAGGTTGACCACAAACCACTGAACAGGCCTAGTCAATAGTCGTTTACTTAGCAAATTGATAAATGATACATTTTATATCTAAGGAAACAGCACCATCAAAGATTATTGCTACAGTAACTAGCAAGATACTTGGTGGAAGATTCCCAAAGATGAAGAGCAAAAGGTTTCAGAAATCGGTGAATTTCTGTATGAAAAGCTGGGTGTGGTTCGCAATTTGTGGTTCTCACGAGCGAAGTTTTTTGGACAATGATTGATCTTGATGTGGAATATATATTACGACATCCCAATATCACCTAAGAAATGAGCCCCGTTTTTCTCTCTAACTCAATCACTGGAAAACTCAACTCATCACCTCGAAATATGTGAGTCTTCCCATCAGTCAATGTTTCACCACCGGCTGGAACCTGCGAAAAGGCGGCCGTTATCAGTCAACTCGTTCTTCTGCCCAGACCAAGTGCACACGCGTCACTTTAACAGTTTGATGTGATTACTCACGACAACCACCCTGACATCTCTCAGGTCGAGAAAGGAATTCTCGCAAGTTACTTGTGCCGTCCATTTCGTCATAGATCGCAACTAGCGTGGACTGCAGTCACAAAACATAAACCACCCTATTTTAATCCACTAAACCTTGCCTGATGTATTTAACTCCGAAACAAAGAGTCTAATAAGCAGGTCTCAGCTCTAGAAATCATATGATAGAAGTGCTACACAATAATCCTAAAAATATATGAAAAACAACAGTAATATATGGCGAACATGAGCATTAGAAGCTATGATAGCAACGATTGTCTGCAGCAGAACGGACAAATTCACGTCAATACTAGAAGGCAGAAGAACCAAACATAGTCAATCATTAAGCAAGATCTACTCTAGTCTGAAGATAAGTATTCTCCATTAAATAGAGGTAAACTGTCCAGAACCCCATCAATGCCTCCAACTGTGAGAAGGAAGAACTTCAAACCTATGTATTTCTTATTAAAAGCAAAAATATGAAAAACACTGAGTTGCACAGGACTAAGAAATGAAGACATTAAGTGACATGCAAAGATGGAGAAACAAAATATTTCTTACGAAGATTTCTTCGAAACAAGGTTTGGATTGTGCTAAAAGGAATCATTGAAATGTAGTGACGATTAATTCGTATTTTTCCAAGATATGCTAAAATATTATACGGCCTAAAAAGTCGAGAAAGTAAGCTCACCAACGAGAATATTGAGGTAATTGGGCTCGTATTCGACAAGAGCGTCATTCACTCTGTCTGGGAAATGTCTGGAGAGATTCGCCAACAGATGAGCCGCGAAATCCATGTATCTTTCACGAGACCGCGAAGCATCGAACGCGAGCTGCGCGCATCTGGAGCGACTCAAAATGAAGTCTGCTACTTCAACAGACCCAGATGAGCAGTTCGTGAGGATGCACAGTGCTTTTGGACGATCGGAAACACTGGTCTCACATAGCTTGCAAATTGCCTGAGAATAAATCGAAGGAGGATACGACTTCATTTCATGTTATATTTTGCTCTAAAAACTTTCTTGAGGTGTTAACATAAGTGATTTTAAATCAACAATCATAGTCATAACAATATAAACAAGTTAAACACCTACTTCGGTTATCGTAAAATTATTGTTAGTGAAAAGGCGAAGAGTCGGCTCATCTACAGTGCCACTGTAGCCCACCACATGTTCAAGCGCTCTTTGTCGTATATCCGGCCGAGTCTGGGGAGTTAAGAACTCTACTAACTCGACTATTGTCCTCGTATAGTCGCACTCGTGGACGTCACAGGCATCGATCGTAGGTAACTTCTGAATGAATTTTATAAAACCAATCCTAGAACAGTGAATAAGTAGGTTAGTTTTCTTTGTAGAAAAAGACGTGGTGTGGACCACAATTTATAACTCTGAGGAATAAAACCTACATGTAACCTCTAACATATGTAAAAACACCTCCTTACATTGGATTCTGTCTACTATTTATGTTCTCACATTTTGCAAAATGAAATCTCTACCCCGACATCTGAAGCAAAACGTGGCCATTTCATGTCGAAAATGTCTACCAGGACGTTTTTGTCTCACTCAAGTCTACTGTTTAAAACTTTATATCCTGTCAGTCACTGTGACCACAGTTCCACTACTTTGATTATATGATAGCTCATTCGGCGCGTAACGATATCTCAGTATTTTCATCCCCACTTTTTTAAGTGGTATAAAGAAAATTATTACTTCGAGATTGCATGAATGGTGTGTCTAAAACATTGTGCGTCCCTTTCTGCACGTCGCATTAAACTACAGCCTCGGCCTCTTTCTCAAAGCACTGACTACTCCCTTATTGACCAATTTGAGCACTACTAAAGAACTCGTCATGGATAGTATAGGAGATTCACGACGTAGGTAGGTCGGGTCATTCACATATAGTCGGTCATACCAATCCGTAGAAAATCAGCAAAACAAACTGTAATCAGGACGCTAATGGTGCCATATGAATGCCAAAACTGTAGAGCGACAATATTGCGCTTCTTTGACTTATATGCAGGATTAGCCATAGCGACCTGCTTTAATCGACAGCAGCAGGCGAGGCTTTGATGTGGGGATCGCCTGTCATGTTCCGATTGACAAATGTCGTGTGTGGCTCACCTGGCCTGCTTTCGCCGGACTACGGTAGTACCCGAACCGCAATGGAGGCAAACATTAGACGGACACTCGAGCGATACCGTCGCGACACTCTAACACTTGATAATACACACCCGAGGTGACTACGCGGTAACAAACGAAGCTCAAGAGCAGATACGAAATATGGGAAGATGAATGCAGACGACAGGACACGAAAGTGATGGATCAGTCTAAACAACAACTTGAGATTCTCGCAGTAGTTCGGCTGGATACTAGCTGGGTCTGAGTTCTTGAATATATGGTACTTGGTGGTATGAACAATTGGGCAACTGATTGGGCTAAGAAATACAGAAATGATGCGTTCCTCAACCCTGTCAGTGAAAATCGGTTTATCTCCTGTTAAGAAAAGCCTACAAGGGCTAGAAAAAATAGCTCGTGCTACACTAAGACACAGTACTCGGCATGCATTGGCTACAATGCATTTCATGCGTAATCACTGCCACTTTAAACTTTCAACCGAGACATCTCAGCGTCCTAACCCCCGTTAATAGGAATAAAAATAACTAGGATCATGGCTACAAGACTATCATAGGCTATCTTTTTCCACCACGATGAAATTCTAATTTTGTGGAGACGACGAAACACATCCTCCTTTTCTTGCGTGCTTCGCCTAGTAGGACATGGTCGTTTTCTTCGAGGTATTATTGGCTTCGCAGCTGCCACTCATGTGTTGGAAATTTTGAAGAATTGTATTTTGTTTTGAACTTTTCGAAAATCCTGTTTCCAAGCCATGCAAAATTGAAAGCGAACTGTGTAAAAACTACGTACACGATTAAGGCGAGAGAGCAAAGTCTCTTCGATAAATCTGTGAGATTTTGAGCTCTTCAAATACTCTAGTGATTAAGAAGCTATCGTCTGCTATTGCAAAACCAGCTACGGCCGTTATTTCTTGATGTTACGGCGATGGGTGGGATTAGTTAATCCCAAGAAACAAGAAGCACAAGGAATCGTATCTGAGGTGACTTTAAGCATCACACTTCTAGGGTGGTCGAGAACTGAACAAAACTGTTGTAAACTTGATAAGTTTGTGTGCTTGGAAACGATGGCGACAGCATTTTTCTTACAGCGAACGTGAAATGACAGAGGTGACCGTGTGGCTTGCCACTTGCAGCCGCTATATGTCATTTGCCTTGCCGGACAACAAATGTTTTCATCATTGTAACACACAACGGACAACGATGCCCGGCGCTAATGGTGCGAGAATTGTTGGTCATTCGTTGATAATTACTCGAGGGACCACGAGTATACGTTACCAGGAAGTACATGCTGAGAAACGCACTTGCAGAACTTTCGATAATGTGCTGTATTAATGCAGAACTTAGCATTTCTACATCACACATCCTCTCTAGACTCCTTCAAAAATGAGGCGCCTGGATTCTAGAATTTCAGTAAAGTGAAGAAACTATAAACATAACGAGAGAATGGATGATGTCACTTCCACAGTCTCTTGATGACTTTTATACAGTTTTTACGAAAAAAAAAACCTTATCCGCATACTAACGAAAAACAAGGTGTAGGACTGTTTAAACCCTTAAGAGTTCGAAATTTCACAGCTCAGAAAATGAAGCGGTTCTAGCTAATCAGTATTCAAAACACCGCTCTCAATATAACTAGCCCAACCGAAAAATACGTGAGAAATTTACATTCGTGCCTCAAGACCACTTAGGATCGAATCGGACCTGGCCACCAAGCACAACTTTCGCATGTTACGCAACGATATACAGTGGGTGTAGTAAAACGACACCGCTCCGGATATGTGCAGATTAACCCTCGATAAGTGACGCAATATTGACATGCTCGTTCGCTGCCGTGCACAAACTTGGAGGACGTATGGACTCTCACAGCCACACCCAACACAACGAATCCCACACTTGCTAGACGGCTCCATGATCTCCCGCCTACCCTCATAGAAGGGACCAAAACTATAGGCAAAGATAGCAGAGGATGTATAAATACTCAGCCATTTAGTCGTGATCGCTGCCGAAAAATGGACCATTAGCATGTTTAATACATGTCTCAAATCAGTTGTTGTCCTTTGACTAGTTGTACAATTCAACATTACCACATTAGACATCGTAAATAAATCGCAACAGCTTCGAATGACGCTCATCTCGAACATTTTCCTCTCCACTAACCAATAGTGTGTTTGTCCAAAGCTCTACAACTGGCGTTAACAAATAGCATAAAAAATAGAAGCTACTGAAAAACGTAGCCCAGTTGCCCGAACTCCATCTCACATTTTAAGAACATCATTTCAATTCCACTTTCATGGATACTACGATTATTTACGATTACAAGAAAAGTTCTACTGGAGAGCTTTATAGAGTTGATAGTGATTTAACGACAGCTTCACTCAGTGCTTCACTATTGCTGAGAAATAATTTCTCAAGCAGCCCAGTGATTCTGACATTTGCTTCAGTGAAATCGTACACAGACATGTCATGTTTACGTTTTTATCACAGCAGTTCAGTATTGTGCAACCGACTCGGCGGCATTCACCTTTTGATGATAACGAAGATAATCCCCTAGGTATACCCAGTGTTGTCTTTGGCGGCATCTAAGGTGATATACAAAAATGCGTCGCTTCATTACCAACGGCTGACGTTCAGATAAGACAAGACTGTTAACAGACGGGGTAACGAAAGCAAAAAGCCCATCGGTTTTCCTTCGACCCTGTGACTTCTAGAGAAGCGTCGTCTACAGGGTTAACTACGTTAGTCTAAATAATAAAAGTACGACATAATTTTTAGTTGATTTCATATCAGCATTTCGTCCTTATGAATGACTGCGATATCCTACTGATGCAAAACGACGCTCTTTACAAAAAAAATACCCAAGTTGTAACATAGTGCTAACTTATTATAGCAATCTCCCTTCTCCTCTATCATCAAATTATTTACCGAACTAGAACTGATGCATTCTGCATTATTCTAGAGCGATGAAAGATTCTCCACGACAAGTGCCAGCAACAAATACCAATATTATTCGCAGCTTAATGTTTTACAATTGAAATCAACTATAAATGGAACCAGCTATTAGATATAGTCGTCTCCACTTTTTACAACGTTGTGTCATTTTAAGGGATTTCTATTCATACGGACTCCTCCAAGCACTACAGAATGACTATGTCTCTTCACCACTCCAGGATGAGGACTTACGAATACAGGAAACACCTCGCTATATACAACCGAAGCTCGTCGAATGAAACATTGCAAAAGAAAAGAGGCGCTTGCCAGCTGATATATGACAGTACAATCGGCTCAGAACGCAACAGGTGGCGCTTCATCGTCTTCGGCACAACTTAACGCCGCTGCTTAGTCTCTGCTGTAATTAGCGAGTTCATCAACAGCACGCCGATAGAGAAGGAGGCTAAGGAGCATCGAGTTACCTGCACCCAGCCATCACGACTCAAGTGGACACCGCTAAACGAATGACTCCGACTCTAACTCTTACCTGCTTTTGCTCGACCATTACCAAACCAGGAGCAAAATAATGAGCGAGAAGATGCTGCTCACAGGTCTCCAGAAAGCTCGGAAATTCCCTGAAAAGATCAAAGTAAGGAATTCAAAAAGAAAAGTAGTTAAAAATTATTATGAATTATGAAGAATATTAACATTGGTTGATTCTGGAGGCAGTGTTAAACTCAAAAATTAGTGCGAGAAAATACTGTGTAGGACTGAACAATACCCCTAATTTAAGGACAAATTGGTCCATTATGAATCTCAACAATCACTATGCAATGAAAGGAACCAGAAGACAAATTTATCCAGTTGTTGTCGTCCGAAAACTTTTCTGAATCAAACTGGGTTAACAAAAAGATTCAAATTATAGCCTAATAAGGCCCATCGTCTCCTAAATTGTCTGGAATTTCAATTTTACACAGCTTTACTATGGATGGTACGGTACGGACAAAAATTCACAGCAAACGCTTGCAAAAACTCCCTACCACGACTACTCTCAAGACCAAAAATTCTTTTTCTCAGAAAGAAATGGTGGACTCATTTCAAATGTTGATAAGCGGCCTTTGATGTCAGTGATCTTTGTGCCGAAACGATTTCCAATGTAACGCACGACATGGTGACCATCATTCGCTTTCAGTTTCCTCCTGGTACAGACT